ACGCACTCACAAACCGACACTCACTCACTCACTCACACACACGCACGCACACACACACACACACACACACACACACACACACACTCACACGCACACACAAACCTACACTCACTCACTCACTCACTCACTCACTCACTCACTCACTCACTTTTTTTCTCTTTTCTAGCTTTTTAAACATTATCATTTAACAAGTTTATTTCTCGTGCTGATTTGTGGTTATTGTGGTGATAAATTTTCACGTGGTCACGGGCCTTAGAAAAATTAAATGAAAACAAGTTCTTTACTGAACCAAATACTCTTTTTCTTTTTCTCTGCTCTTAATGACCATTATCTAGTCGACATGCTTCTCCCCACTTAATCAATGTCTTTCTTTCTCCCTGCACTGATTGCCTTTATTGTGTCGGTGTGATTCTCTTTACTCAAACAAAGAAACGTGACTAGTTTTTTTTTTCCATCTGCACTAAATGGCCCCTTTCGTGTTGATGTTCTTTTATTTACTCAAACTAACCGAGCCTCGTGTTGTTTCGTCGTTTGATTTTGATCTGTCGCCCGTGGCTGTTCAGTCGGCGGTTTATGGGTGCTCTGGTGTGGTTTGCTCTTTCAGATCTTTCCTATCGAACATCTTTCGTCATTATCTCTCCTTCTTTTTTGTGTCTGTTACTCTCTTGTTACACTTCTAATCTTCGGTACTTATATTACCTTATTGTGTTGCAAGTGCCATAAAACTCTTACTAAAACTAAAAGCAGCTGTTCAGTGGACACGTCGTACGAGGTGTTCGCCCTTTAGTTTCGTTATCCTTGATGTCACTGGCTGCTGGTTCAAATCCGAGTTACGTTCGAATGTTTTTCTTCTATTGAGGAATAGTTCCATCCGTCAGTCATTTGAATGGCCTGCTCTTTGTGTCTAGTAATGATTAACAACGACAGAAAAAAACTCGAGAAAAACAACAGCAGCTGATGCACTACAACAACAACAAAAGCAACTACAACAAAAGTAACAACAACAAAAACAACAACAGCAATAACAACAACAGCAATAACAACAACAGCAGCTGCAATAGCATTAGTTTTTTTTAAATAACAATACTTTATGTGTGTTCCAGTTTATGAAGACAGCGTGAAGAATGAATGTAAATCTCTCGTTTATTGATTTGCTAGGAGAGTGCCACTGGTAGACCATACGACATAATATTATGCTGTTGGTTTTTTTAAACGCTCCCTTTCGTTTCTATCTGCCTTTTCCGAACGTTGATAGTCGTCAGTGTTCATGCGCCTATTTTGTCTCCAAATAAAACTTATTTGCGGTGGGTGTCTCTTAAAGCGCAGCATACTAACAGGAGTGGTCTAGGTCTTTTTCACAATTCTGTTACTAAGGGATATCTGGCTGATGACGTGATTGTACTGTTTTCCTCTTTTTTCTCGGCTTTTCTTTTTACGCACCTTGCGTCAATTATGATTACAAGAATCTGCTCTTAGCATAGATTGACTACTTATATGCGTCTTTGAAAGACGAACAATGGTTCCTAATCATGGAAAAGCTGTACTTCCACTTAATTATTTTTCTCGTTATCGGTTTTCTTTCTCTTTTCCTCTTTCTTTGCATCTCTCTTTTTACTTGTCTTTCCTCTCTCCCTCTTTTCCCCTTGTCTCCCTCTCTGTCTTCCCCTGTTTCGTAGCCTGTGTCTTTCCCGTTCTCTCTTATTCTTTCACCTTTTCCATCTCTCTCTCTCTCTCTCTGTCTCTCTCTCTCTCTCTCTCTGTCTCTCTCTCT